CTGGAGATACCTTCTAATAAATCGAAATTCATCCATTTATCTAAACATTCGCATTTATAATATTAGTAAGCAGTAAGATAACAACACTTTAGTAGGTAACTAATTTGTTTTAATTATTTTTGTTTTATCTAAACGTATGTTTTAGTTTATTACAATTTATTAATTTATCAGAGTCCGTAACCTCTTTGACATTAGATTTATTTGATTAGGAAGTTTAGGTTTTACTTTTTCATTTTATATTACAACTAGCGGTCGCCCGCGACTCCGTCCGCGTGGATATATAGAAAAACTTAATTAGTGTAGCCTATGTGTTCTTTCAGACTATGTTGTTTCTATACGTATGCCAAATTTAATCCAGATCCCTTCAACCGTTCTAGAGATATCTTCAAACACCCATCCATAAATGCACGTCACATCTATCTAAACATTCGCATTTATAATATTAGTAAGTTAAATAAAAAGCAGCTCTTCAAGGCACGAATTCCAAAAAAAATGAATAAATAGTATCCTAGGTCCGTCTCCTGGCTCTCTGCTACCTCCTCGCCAATTTTCAGCCATATCGGTAAAGCCGTTCTCGAGTTATAAATAGTGTAACTAACACGACTTTCTTTTATATATATAAATAAAGAAGATTATATTTGACTGTGTTTCGCACAGATTTAGTTTTTTTTTTAAATTTAGTTATAGTAAAAGGCAGAAATAGACTACTCGTTTGTATTATTTCCATAGTTTCAAAGTGATTTATAGTTCGATGGTATTTGTTTGAAGATTTTAAATATTTTTATTGTATTATTATGATTTGTTATGAGATAATTTAGAACAGACGTTTACGTAAATATATGAATGAGAAAGGCATACGTATAATGCGCAATAGACGAAGTTGTTGTAATTTTTGTTGTTGGTGTATGTTGATTTTATTTACATTGTTATTGTTTTTACACATACTGTACGCTAATACTCGTATATACAAAGATTTTGATTGCAAGTATTTTAATGAGACAAAATCTTCTACTTAATAAATATACATTTAAAAATATGTTACTTTGTATCGGAGATCGCAATTTTTTTTATATGTATTCATTGTACCAACATCTAAGTCTTATCAATTATGAGATGACCCCTTAGTTAATACATAATAGGAATTTTAATATTGAAATAAATTTATAATGTTTGTATTTAGAACTAATATTATATATGCGAATGTTTGGATGGATGGATTTTCAAGATATCTCCGGAACATCCGCATGGATATCGTTGAAATTTAACAGTGGTAGAGCCCGCTTTACCATCTTCGCACGAATTGGCCCGGCTCGCCCGGTGAAATACCACGACCACACAGAAGACAGGCGTGAAGTGGAAGCAATTCCGCGTTTCGTCTGTCGGCAGGCAGCGGTCGCTTCGCTATTTCAGCGATTTCAGGTGACCGTTCGCTCGTTTGCCATCTTATAATATAATAAAAATACATGTAGAACGTAGTCTGGAAGAACAGATAGGCTACTAATTATATTTTTTTCTGATTGCGCAGACGTAGTTGCTGCGACAGCTAGTTAAATAATAAATAATTATTTGTTGTTAACAGTTGCATTTGGAATGACAACACAATATAGAGTTACTCTACAATGTTTTTGAGTTTTTATTTTTAGTTCTCACTCACAAATCATCAAATTACACAAAATAAAAAATAAAAAAACATTTACATATATCTTATAAATTCAAAACACGTTAACATCCGTTTATATTTACAAAACGCGACAAGATTGTTTTAAATCAGTGAATTACAAAACTTTTAAGAATCGCAATAAATTATGCATATGAGTATAATATAAGGAATCTGCCACGGATTGCTAAAACTAGTTTGAAATGAAATTATTTTGAATATAAATTGGTAATATAAAGAATTACATAACTGTCATCGGAATATAATATTACATCAAAATAGATTGTAGTTATTTTTCATTAAAATAGTCTGTTTTTATTTTTAACTTATAAAAGAATGTTAAAAAATGTTATAATATTACTCACTTCTATTTAACATTTCTTAATGTTCAGAAATTGATACAAATTTGTTCGTAACAAAATGTAACACAAAAGTATATAATTAAACGATAGAATCGTTTTATCTCATAAAAATATTCTAATATCAAAGACCTCATCAACATTATTAATCATCAAAGGCGCTTTACATAATAAAGTACATGGTTTTTGCATTTTAAAAACATTTGAAAAGTATATAATAGCATGTCTTTATCTTTAAATCTGTAACATGAGTCCTAAGGTTGATCTAAAAGGTCATATTAACAAAAAATTAGATCTTAGACATTGAAAAAAGGTTGACCGCTGCATTGTTAAGTTCAGACCTTTAGCCCCCGAGTATAAACCTTGAAACAGAGAGGTAGCCATATTCCCAGAAGTATTACAAACTTCAAAAAAAGGTTATACTAGCGGTCCCCTGGGATTTCGTCAGCGCACAGTTAAAAAAGTTGCCTATAATATTCCTGCGACCATCAGCTACCTTCCTATCAAATCCTGTCAAAATCGGTACAGCCGTTATGGAGACTAGCTTGAACTACGTGACCTTGTGGACAGACAATTTTTTTTTATGTTTTTTATGTTATCAGCAACGCAAATACATCATGTGTACAACAGTTTTACTTTGTAAAATTTTGAACTGAACAATACTCAGTTTTGACTACACACGTAAAGTCGGCGACACACCTCCAGTTAAAACTGTGCAGTTATAATTGAGGTGTGTCAACGGCTTTACATATGCGTAAAGCAACTAAATAATGAAGATGCGCGTGTGAACATAAAAGTATGAAATAGAATTGTAAATAACAAAGCACATAGTTTAGTATCTTATTACGTAGTCAATTTTATAGACTTCCTGCCATACCTATCATAAAATGAGTTGCAGAAGTTTAGACAAGAAATTCAGGAAATATAAATCGTCCAGTAACATCTATGTGATCGGATTATTAATAGTAGCTTTCCTTTATTTAAACTTATGTGTAAGGAAAGCTGTACACTTCTATTTATTCCTTATGGAAACTAGAAATCTACTGGAAACCATGACCTCTATATTATACTGTTATTATTTGGAAATAAAAAAATAACTTACAACATTTATCTTGTATATTAATTATTTGTTTTAATGAAGTTATAACTTTAAGTTAAATTCATTAAAACAAAACTTAATACTGACATTCTTATTTTTTTTGTGAATTTAAAACCGGGTATATCAAGTTTCCACAAACATCGTTTTCGTAGATGACTTCTTACCATGGGTTTACGAGACCCAAATTTTATACTCAGAAATCTACGGTCAATTGATTAGTGCCAAGGTGTTGATAACGTACTTTAAAATAGACTAACTGACCAATAAACTGTTTCCTACTAATTTCACTAACGCTCATTGAAAACTGGAATCTATAAATGTACACTTTATGAGAAATTTCCTTTGATTTTCTCGTCAAACATGATTTTAATATATTTCTAATTTGTAACACATCGTGTTTCAAATCGATTCTCCGTTCACATAAGTTTTTAATGAACAGAATTTAATTTCTTTTCTATTCAAGGTGATAATGTTTAAAAGATTCTTTTGTAATAATATTTATTATAGTAACGGATTATAATTATTTCAAACTAGCGGTCGCCAGCGATTCCGTTTGCGCTGAATGTGTTCTTATGTATGTCAAATTTCATCAAGATTCGTTTAGCCGTTCTGGAGATACCTTCAAACAAACCAATCCATCCATCTAATCATTCGCATTTATAATATAAGTAAGATTGTTAAGGACATTTTTGGGTAAAGTTATTGACTGGAAATCAATAATTTAAATAAATAAAAAAATAAATTGAAGAAAATTAACGTTGACATCGACGAACGGTTATTCGACCTTCTTTAACCAGTACAAAGTAAAGCCGATACGACTGCATATGTTAACTAAAGGGCATGTTCGCACCGATGGGCGGGAATCTTACTCGTAAATTGACTCTATGAATAAAACAACAGAGGTTTTTAACGATTAACAATTGAGATTATATTCAATTATTATCAATGTGTATCAGTTATTGATTTTTATTTTTTGTATTATATTTTAAACGGTCTTTTTTACTTTTTAAAAGTTAAAACCGGTTTTTAAATTGTGCCTTTTCATTAACTTGACTATGCTTCATTGTTCTAACATAAATAAAGCATAGACAAGCTAAAGATGTTACTTAAAAGTCATAAGTTAGTGAACGTGATTATAAACAGAATAAAGTAATATTATACTTTTTTACAACTTTACCGGCAGTGGAATCCAACGGTAATAACTCTCAGTATTTAGATTCACTGATAAATATAACCTTCCTACATTCCTTTAGCGTCCTAATGATAGAGAATGCAATATGTTCGCTATGCCCTTAGTGGCACGCAGATATAATAATTAGTAAGAGAATTCTGTCTCCTACAACTGGTTTTAATTCAAGTCATTGGCGCCTGTATACTATCAGAATAGTATTATTAGAATGACCTGAGAAAAGTATTTTTTTAAGTCGCTTGTTAATTATCTTGTTTGCATAATTAAATTTTATTATTAACAAGATAAGGATTATTACATACTTACGTTTGTCTGACCAATTTATCACATTATTATAAATATTATTAAACGATTAAATATTTTATTTAACAACGTTTATGATTATATAAAGAATGCTATTTTTATAGTTTTAATGTTTTCCTCAATCTTTGTGTCACTAACTCACTAAATTTTTTTGTATTCAAAATTATGCGTCAGCAAATTTATGATTTTTTTATTTTGTAAATAAATATGTTGCATAAATTAATTTGATAACTGTTACCTATTAAACTTAACCTATTCGTATATATTTAATTATTTGATTTGTAAAAAAAATTATAACCTTCAAAGCGTTAAAACTTCACTATTAATATTACATTATACTTCCAAAGCGTAAGTATTAATTTAATCTATTAATAATATTAAAAAAATACTTACAAAAAGAATTTCATTTCAACGTTTCTAATTTACTTCACACTTGTAAATGACACTTTTATTTCACAGTATTTAAATAAACATGATGCCTTTTTCGGTATTCAGATATTAAAAAAATCACAGTGTAATTTCGTTGAAATCATAGCGAACTGTACGATGTTTTGGTCGGATGCGCACGAGTCGCAGACGTGGTAACACACGGGCGTCTGCCCAATGACTAGAAAATGTTTGCATTAAGTCTTCGCAAGCTTTTACGAGAGAACGAGATGGTTGCTATTGTTTTAAGATTAAGCTACTGATGATGATTCAGTATTTCGTTTTTTTTTAATATATAATATATTTGTTATATTTAGAAGTTGTGTGTTTGTACTCATTTTGGTTCAAATTATCGTGGGAACTAGTAGTAGTAGTAGTTTACTTGGTTTTTAGTAAACTTTATCACGAACGTAATAATAATAGCTAAACTAAGAAAATAAATACATATATAGTGGAATATATATACTTTAGATTTTTATAAAAGCGGTTAGCTAATGTAAAAATTAAGAAAAAAAAAATAAACGCTTTAAAATTTAATCTTTATCCAATTGATTTCTACTTAATTTCTTTTAGTCTTTTATAATATGTCGTGTTTTCTATATAATTCGCGAATTTATATATTAAAAAGCTACCAAATTTTTTCGTAAGGAATAAGCTTTGCATACTCGGTAGTAACTGAGTCTTATAACAACAAAAGCCACAATCGGTTGCTAAAATGATAATTCTAATTGTCTTTTTTTATAATTAGGTTTAAAATTTATGTACATAGATATTATAAATTAAATGTTTTGAGTTCACATACAACTATTGAAAAGTTACTTAATAAACATGCTGCGACTTAGGGTCCTTCAAGAAGCGAGCTTATCACCACCTCAAAGGCCGGCAACGCATCTGCGGTTCCTCTGGTATTGCTGATGTCCATGGGCGTCGTTGAACGTCTCGGTGTTCCCGCTGCTCGTTTGCCCCTTCTGTTATAAAAAAAAATGCATTTGATTCCTACAGTGAATCTTGTTTTGTCTTGCAGCTGTCATTTGTAGTAAGGAAAACTAAATAATTAGATCACTTGAATTGTAATCCTAGAAATACTAATAAATATGTATTGTTTATTCTTTTCGACTCATTCCATTCAAGCAGAATAAAGTCACCTATAATTCAAGTATTATTCAATTCCATTAAAATAATGAAACATTGTCTTGATCGTAAATATTTTAAATTACACATAATAATAAATCTACAAGCTATTAAAACAATAGAAACGAAAAATGTAAATACACTGGCAAATCAAGTCAAAATTCCACGCTGATAAAATATAAAATACATGACAGAACTCGGTCTATAGATTTATCGAAATAAAATCATCTCTACACGTGATAAAAATAAGAATTAAAACCAGGTCGAAAAACTCAAGTGAACAGCTCATTATTCTACCACCGAACGAATGTTTACTTGCAAAATATTTATACGAATAGATGAGATAAAATTAAGCAGATCCAGTCTTAACATCCTGTCTTTTATTATTCACTATATTTTATTTTATTTATGGTTCTTGTAAACAATAACGAGGGATCGTTTTCAATAATTTAGATACTAATTGGTTAATATTCGTTTAATATAATTGCAACATCAATTTGGTCAATTTTAAAACTAAAACTTTGTCAGATAATTTTTTTCCCAATGTTATCAAAAGAGTCAAAAATATTAATTGGCGGTATATTATTTGTAACAAAAACAATACAATTGGACGATTATTTTTTTTTTCTAACGTCATATGTTACTGTGAAGTTGTGGTACGTTTCAAATTTTGATTGTTGTACATTCCACAATTTTATTTACGATTACATTCATAAAGTACATTTTAAAAATATGAATGAGATTATGAAATGCTTTCGTCTTGTTGTATTATTTCGATACGCTTAATACATCCGTTCATTTTGTTTCTATAATCCTCATATAGGTTAAATCGTGACTAGTTATTTGAATTTAACTGCTTTATAAAGCGATAACATCACTGAAGTCAGATTAACTTTAATATTTTAACCAATTACGATGTCAAAACACAGTCAATATGTCACTGATTGATCTAAAAACCGCCAGAATGTAATTTGTCTACTCTAACTGTTGCTCAAGAAACTATATTGGTGGATCTAAATAATCTTCAATGGTATCGTGATCTGATTTTGAACCAATCGTCGCTAAATATGAAGATACGTCACTTTTGAATGAATTCATTGATTAACGATGGGTTCCTGTGATCAAAATATCCCTTAAAATTTATATTGTCTTTATTTTATCAAAGGTAATGACTCCCTGTCATTATCTTACGATATGTTTTATACAAAGATATTAATCTCCGAAATCAATGGTAGGTAGATTGTTCGTGATTTTCGAAATTTGTTTACAATTAGCATAGTCAAATTATAAACGTGCGATATTAACAATCAATCGGTGACATACAAACACAAATGCTACGTACTGGTTACCGTTATTCATGTTCTACAAACCAAACAAGTTTTTTGACTCGTACATATAACATATTATGACAGCGGGAGTCATATTTTCATTCTATTATTTAGTCAGAAAGTAAGTGTTGTTCAAAATCGTTTGTTTCTTATGAAAATACCGTTGTAAGGGAAAATGCCGTTTGAATTTTGATACATTTGGTAATATTTTTTTTTAATTATTTCTTGAACAAATATCAAACTTTATTAGTTAAGGCAAATGCTACTAACATATACTGTGACTTTAATAACTATAATTAACACTTTAAATAATAACAGGGAGTGCCTTAACTTCTAACGAATGCTATCAACATACATCTCATAGTTGTGTGTAATGAGCCGAAAGTCCGTCCATTGTATTTTTTACTTTGAAAGCATCTTAAATATAAACATAAATAAAAGACAACTTAATAACTACTTTAAGTGTGTCGGATAGATTAGCTGTTAACCGTTGGTTTCTGAGACCAAAATCTCTGTATCATCATCCATGTCTTTCATCTCTAACAAAACTGCGATTACGATATGTTTTATACGGTTATTTCTATCTCAGAAACACACGGTAAGTCCGCTCCACACTTTTTGGTTTAACTGCGCAGATTTAATTGAATAGTCCAACTCTACAGTTTGATCGTAAAGGCGTAGGAAACTTTTTAATGTTGCTTACACTGTACAATTCTCAGTGTTACCTATACATCACCAGTAGACCTGTACAATTCAAATTGTGCAGTTTTACTGAACGTGTGTAGCGGGCCTTATAGCAAATACAATTTTAGGTGTAGCGATACGTAAAGAGAACGAACGGCGCGTAATAATGGTTAGAATATATTTTATCAAAAATATTTTATTATTCATAAAAAGTATAATGTTTTTTTAAACTTCTATTTAACGTAATTGCCGATATGTTCTCATAGTATATTTTGATTACGTAGGACGTCGCTGTTATCCTTGCCCTGGATTTCTAATATGACACGCCTTTATGATATGTTGGATATTACAAGATAAGTGATGTGTATAAAATTAAAACTGAAATATGAAATTGAAACTGAAATTAAAAAAAAAGGTGAAGTGATGAGCCGACGTCAATTAAAATAGAACTAAAGAAAGATACAAAATATAACACAAGTAAAGTCAAGGAAATTAATTTTATTAATGTCGAATAAATACCTAATTTAATTAATTAAATGTTTTCAAGTATATTAAAGGTTAGTTAAGGACAGGAATTAGTATGGATGACATCATGTAAAGTATTATCACTCATATGTCATGTTTGGAAGTGACGTGAGTGTCCGTCTGAAATTCCAGAGGACTTCTTAAAATAATTAAATTAATTTATGGGCTTTTCCAAGAACCTACATGGTGTTATAAACACTTAATTGATGGACGCACTTCACTGACGCAATTGCACAGATTATAAATAAACATTTAGAGACAATACACAGTGGGGAAACAGTTACTATAGTTAGAACAAATTAGATTTATAGTAAGGAATGATGTAATATAACAATGCTACTTTACTTATGTGTGAAGTATAGATAAGCAAGCAAAAAGTTTAATTTAAAAGTAAAATATTATTTCCTTATTTTTAGTATTTCAAAGTTAAACCTTTAACGTTACACCAAAGATTAATTTAAATCTGTCCAGTCGATTCAGTAATCACCAGTATGTCAAACTAGCCGTCGTCCGCGACTCATGCCAAACCTTAGTAAAATCCATATAGCCGTTCTGGAGGAACCTTCTAACAAACATCCATCCATTCAAACATTCGGAATTATAATATAAGTTAGAAGTGGGATAATTTGTTAAAAATCAGAGCTAATAATTTTTAAAATTGATAAAATTGCTATTATTTCGCGGTTTAAATGACTAATAACAGATAAAAATTGTCGCGTCTACGATGAATGTTATTGGTTTCCTACGTGACTGCACCTGAGTTTCTAAGCCAAAACAAACAATTGGCCCTCTTTCGCTTAACTTGCATTATGTTAGGCGCTACCCAAAATTGCTTTTTTAAAGGCTATTTACTCGGATTTTTATTTATCTTGTATAATTGTGTCATTTTTCACCAAAATATTTTTCGTATCCTTATCTACAAATTAGTAAGTTGAGAAATAATTGATCGATACAATTAACTATAGTTAGTATATCTTACGAATATTAAAAATGCTAGATTGTTTGGATGGATAGATCTCGCTAAAATTTGGTATAGATTAAGAACATAGTCTGGAAAAACACATACGATTTTTTTTATTCACGTCATTAAGGTATATCTAATATGAGAAATATCTACCTACACTAAGGGCTAGACCATTAAAATACTGACCATGAGATTTCCAATGTTTTAAACATTAATTTACTTCATGCAATATACGTTTCATTTAACAGGTATTCAATTTATGTTTAATTATCCCATAAAATAGATACTTTATTAGTGATACTGTTGTAAATATTATTATGATGCAAAATAGAATATAGTTTATACATAAATACATAAACGTACGTAACATAAATTACTAAAATGTTTTGTAACAAAAATTACTAGAATATATTTTTTCAACCAAAAGCTTAGTTGGAATCGTTTTTAAAATATGTTTTTAACTAAATATTAGATGGAGAAGAGAATGCTGGTTTTGTTAACGCGTTGTATATCAAAATTATTGTTTTGTTT